GAATATCTAATTTTTTTTAAAAAATATCGAATTAACGTAATCTAATTTAACTTTAAAAATTAGTCAAATTGACTTTCGAAAAGCGCAACATGACAAATAAAAGTGGACAGAGGGAGTATAATTTTTGGCTAAGAAATTTTCTTGCTCAACAAATTAAGGCTAAAGATTCATGATGTGATCTTCATCAACATATTTTTAACTTTTACAGAGATAAATATTTCATATTTTGAAAATTTTACAAAGTTAGATTTAATTTTTTTCCTTTTTACTTTGTAATCTATACATAAAGTGATAGTGTTTTTTATATGATATGGGCTATATTAACAAATATTTCTTTAATGTTAGAATATTTATTTTTAAAAAAATTAGTGAACTTTGTAATTGACAAACAAATTTTAAAAAATCTAAGCTTTGAACTTGACTAATTATGAAATAGGTGATATGCAAAGTTTGGGAACTAATTTGAGAAAATATTTGAATTTGTGTGCATACATGAAGATTCATCCATTAATTCATTAAATCTTGGCTAAATTTATATCGAGATCATATCATATTCCTATTTATTTAATTTGTCACTTTTTTGGATATTTTTCTCTGTTTTAATATCGTTTCTTTGTTAAAAGTCAAGTGAGAAGATTTTCTATCATTTTATATATATATATATATATATATATATATATATATATATATATATATATATATATATTGATAAATAATACATGAGTTTTTATACCGTTCTTGAATATATAAATTTTAATTTTAAAATATCAAAGTAATCTAATATTATTTAACTTTGAAAAATAAGCAAATTGACTCTCGAAAAGTTATAACTATTTTAAAAGGAAGAAAGTTTATTAAAAAAATAAGTTCTAATTACAACTCCAAAATAAATAAGGAAAAAATCACCGTTTTAAAAAAATAGAGTTTATCACAGCTCCATAATAAAATAAGCTTAGAAAAAGACATTGTTACTTGACTTGATTTTAGCCATACGATAATAACTAAGAAAAAGGGTTATAAATACTTATAATTAAATAAAAGAAGCATAGTGTTTCAAGTTTTTAATCTTATAAATTATAATCAAAAGAATATATAGTAGATATACCTTTTAACTGTAATGTTTCTACTTATATATCTTTTTTCCTTTATATATTTAGTTTCTTTTCTTTTTATTGTTTTATTCTTAATGAAAGAAATTTTCGGAAAACAAATATTTTGTACTATCTAATGAAAGCAACAAACCTACTACTTTAACCAAAAAAAAAAACCCTACTACTAAGAATCACATACACAAATTCGTATTTAAAAATGAAAATCTTTTTTATATATTTTATTTTTTTAAAGAAGATATATAATAAAAAGAATACCGTTCATCTAACTCCAATTTTTATAACAAAATTATATAATAAGGATTTCATGAATATTTATAATTGTTTTTTTATGCATAAACATAAGAGTTTTATCATATTCGTTTGAAAAAAATTATATTTTAAAAATTCTTTTCTAAATTGATTAATACACCGCGCGAAGCACGAATATATTTCCTGGTAACATTATTAATTGACAACATTATCGCTGATGGTTATAAGTTTGAGATACACGATAAAATGTGGAAGGAGTGACGACAAAATTTTGGACAATGCGAGATTTTTGCAAATTCATGATTTTCTTGATAATACTTTCATTTCTTAAATCAATATTTTATTTAGAGGATTGTGGTGAGAATGAGAAATTATTAATGAAACTTGAGAAAAGAAAACTTAGGTTTACTTTCTTTTTTTTTCAGGAAAAAAGAAACTCATCTTATAGATTCAAAATAAAAATTTGAAATAACTATATGGATCAATCTGAAGCGTCCAGTTAATAAAACCCCTCCAATCCGAACTTAAATGGATTGATTTTAAATATTAGTTTCTTGAATTCGAAAATTAAAATCTAAAAATCACATAAATAGACAACATGATAAGTTATAATCTTATTTTTCAAAATTAGAGTATTGAAAATAAATTTGTCTAAGATTAATATAGACAAGTGTTATTAAGAATAAAATATTAAAATTCAATGAAGAAATCTATGAGTCTTGCAAAATATTTAAGATCCGATTATGGTTGTTTCTTCCCTGTTTTTTTTGTGTCCAAGCTTCTTCCATGTTATTATTGCTTACTTATCTTTCATCACTATAGTTCTTCTCAAGACAATATTATATGTTTTAAACAATGAAATGATAACACAATTATAATCCAAAATATTAAATACAGGGAGCAAAAATGATGGTCATCGAAAGCAAGAGTAAATCGAACAAATTAAAGAATGTTTCATCAAATTTTTTCATTGTTGACCAAAAAATATTACAACATTTTGACAAATTCCTGGAAATCGATTCTTCCATCTCCATTTTCATCGAAGGCCATGATCATCTTCTTGCAATTATCCAATTCTGCTACTCCCTTTAATCCCAGAGCACACAGAACTCTCTGCAAATCCCTTTCGTTGATAAATCCATCTTTGTTCTCATCAAAAACATCAAAAGCTTCTCTTACTTCTTGTTCTTTAGCTTCTAATTCCTCTCCGAAAAGTTCAAAAATGTCATTAGAATCCAACCTCCCCTGAATCTTCACACCTTCAGGATTGGCAAAAATACCTAAATTAGCCATAACCATTTCCACCTCTTCCCTGTTTAAGCTTCCATCAACTAATTTCTCGCTAATAGATTTCAGTTTTTTGGGAGTCTTGTTCTTTTCACACACTTGGGATTCAGCAAAGGACAAAAAGGTAAAAAGTCTTCGTGCACAATCAAAGATTATATACAGAAAGAAGAATCCCACCGCGCCATGAATTAGCAGGGGAATTGGAATGGTAGTTACAGGGAATTTCTTGAATGGAAAGCGATTCAAATAATTAGAAGCTGCCATATTAAGATTTGTAAGTTAAAATTAAAATTCTTGATTGCGATGGCGAAGAAGAGAAATGTCTCTTTGTTGTTGTTGTAGTAAAAGGCGGGTGATATTCTTGCATGCGGAGGAAAACAGAGTGTTATTTGTTTTGGTTTTGATGAGAATTATGAAAGGTATTAGGGATTTTATATATAAGAGTTAAAAGTTTGAAGATGGAGGAAAGTGCTTGCTTAGTAGGTGCAATTGAGGAGTTCGTGGGAAAAGATGACCAAATTCATTAAAAATTTGGTGTTGCACTGAATGGAAGTGTTACAGGAAGTTTCTTCAATTCCTAATTTGTTGGGAAGAGTCATTTGCCTCTTGTTGGAAATATGGTGGGGCAGGCTGGCCTGTTCTAGTTTTTGTATATTTGTTTGCTGGCAGTTTCTGATTTCTTGTGCCCCAAATTAGCCTCTTTCACTGACCCAAAAATTAAAATGACCTTATTGAGTTGACCGTTATAGGAAGAAGGTACCTTGGGAATTTCCTCATTGATTTTTATATTCCTCGTTTAAATTTGTTGGAAAATTACACGCTTGTCGCATATTCGTTAATATTAAACCACTTCTTGTTATATAATTATTCGCTAAAAGAATTGGTAAGATCCAATTTCGCAAAGAAGTAGAAAGAAAATCCAACATATTTATCTTTTGGCTCAATTCTGGTGAGCGTGAACTTAACTCGATTGTTAACTCTTTATTAACTTGCTACTTCTTCCGTTGGTGTTTACTTATTCGTAATGAATTTTGTACACCACTTAAGAAATAAATAGAAAAATATTGAAAATACTCATAAATTCGATGCGAATTGTTTGTTTCATCAACGTCATCTACTGAATTTAAATATACACCCAGATCTTATAAATGAGTGAAATATACCCCTAAAGTCTCTTTAAGTTTAGGGGTGTTTTCACTTTTCAACATTTCTCTCGATATAGTAAAGTGGATAAGTAAAAATAAAAATTTATGTAACAAATAAAAGTGAATGGATGGAAGTAAAAACTTAATTCTTTATACGAGATTGGAAAAATTATGTTTAATTAACTAGTATTTTTTTTTAAAGTAAAAAGTTGACTGAAAGTTCTTAGCAGCCAGCACTAAGCACTAATGGGAATTCATAGCATTTGCAATCGTTTTCTTAATATACACTTCAAAGTGGAAACAATTTAATACATCAATTCAATCTTAACTTATATATGAAGGACTTCCAAACTTGACCAATTGGTTAATCGCGAAATGCACGAAAATAATATATTGTTAAAGTCATATAGTATTTTCAAAAACAAGAATGACGATTAATAGTACCCCTTCAAAATTTTCCATTCTTTTCTGAAAGTAAAAAGCGCGGCAAGTCTAATTTTCTTATATTCTTTTTAGGGAAAAGGGTCTGAAAAATACTTTAATTTTGATCGAAATTGTTGTTACGATACTAAACTTTATGAAGGACCTTTTACCCCTGCACTATTTAATAGTGTATTTTAAAGGTATATATGTGTCCACGTGGACACATTACTATTTAAAATGATGCAATATTTATGATGTCCACGTAGACACATATATGCCTTTAAAATACACTATTAAATAGTACAGGGGATAAAAAGCCCTTTTCAAAGTTTGATATCGTAACAACAATTTCAGTCAAAGTTTAAGTATTTTTCAGATACTTTTGTCTTTATTAGTACTCCCTCCGTCCATAATTATTTGGCAGATATATTAAAAATAGATGTCCAATTCTGCCCTTAATGATAGTGTAGTTCAATTGAAAAGTTATGTAGACTTTTGGTATTCTTGGTATAATAGAATTATATTAGTCAAATTACACCTTCTATTAAATTTTCCTTGAGAGGTGTGCATGACCTTACCCTGACAAACAATTGTGGACGGAGGGAGTACATCTTTTCTTATGAGGGAATAGCCAAGTTTGCCGCCATAAACACCATGACATTGAAATCCATGACTTCTCATATTATATTACTTATTTCTATCCTAAACAAGTCAAAAAGAGAGTACTAATTTCTGCCAAACAGTAGATCTATTATTTACCTTTAATCAATAATTCAATCCCGCTTACTTTTCCTAGAAAACATTTTTCGAGAAGACATTTTCTATTAAAATTTTCTTTTCATATCGAACACACCTTTACAAGATGAAATTTGGTATTTACTCTTTACACATAATCTTTTTTTCAAATAATAGTGTATGCACTAGTTACACTTTCCGGTTTTGTAATTATACAATATCTCAAAATTTTATATGTAAAATTTGAAACTCCGTGATATGGTTATTTTAATTACAAAACTAAAAAGTTGTTGTTTGCGAAGTTTTCCGTTTTACCTAGACATTCAGAATCGAAATTGTAGAGAAAGTTAGACGAAGGGTATAAAGCCCTATTGTATACTTTTATGACACCCTTTAAAGTTCAAACCTATTTATTACTTACTATATTATAGTTCATATATTCATTGAAGACTGGAACAACATAACATAGAACAAACTTGAATTGTTTGGTGGTTCAACTACTATGTTGAAAATTTTCAACATTAAATTTAAAATCTATTTTGCCGTGTTGACATTTTCATTGTGTAATATTCTGCTTTTCCATTGGCTCATTCAATTTCTGCAGCTATATTTTAATATCCTTTCACATATGTATTAAAGAATCATAGTAAATTCTCTTAGGCGGCAAAAGATGTTCTAATACAAAATTTCATCTTCCCAATTGAATTAAAATAAAGATAATACTCCATCCGTTCACTTTTAACTTTGACCCAAAATTCATAGCTGACCATGAAGATGTGGGATAGAAAGGGTATATCTACTACTCTGTTTTACCCAAGAAAGTAAAGTTTGATGATAAGCTATGTTGCTCGGACTCTTCAAAAATTTCAACGGGTGCGTGTCGGATTCGCCAAAAGTAGTGCATTTTTGGAGAGTCCGACACGGGTGCGGCATCAAAAGTGAAGAGTCCGCGCAACTAAGATGATAAGTAGAAGAAAAGTATGAGCTCCTTCAAATATACAAAGAGCAGATCAAGAAATGGGGACCGTAAAACAAAATATTCACTGCCAACAGAGGCCTCACGGGAAATTAAGTAATTAACAGACCTATTAACAACAAAGTTTAGTCTAGATTATGCTCTTATTTTAGAGATCCCAACCTAAGGCATTAAATTAAAGGTTTTAAAATTAAAAAGATGCACTATAAAATATAAACAAACACATCTTGGAATTTCATGATTCAGTAAATATACATGAGGGGCAGCTATTAGTGAAAAGTGACCTATATTGTCAATCAAAAAAATGTTGATCCTTCAATGAAGAAGAAACAGTTGAATATGAAACGTCCTTTACACATGCTCAGTTGAAATGATAAAGCCAACACAACCAAAACATCCTCGTTTGAGACCAGTCTTGACTTGTGATGTTGGATATGACACCTTATGATGCAATTAAAATTGATAAAATTTAAAAGAACATCTAAAACTATGTGCTAATGAGAAAAAGATACCAAATCAAATTTAGGTGGTGACAAATGGTTTAATGAGAGATAAGATACCTGCTCAAGAAAAGAGTCTCGTTGAGGCCCAGTTCCATAAGTGCTCAGTGCTCCAAATGCAGCATAAGCATTGGCTCGTATCTTCTCATTCATGCACTCCTATTCATGCACTCCTTTTATGAGGCAAGAAAATAATGTTATACGCTATGGCCATCTCAACATGCACTTGCTAATATTTCTATAATCCACAGATTAGAAGATAATGATGTAACATGTGTTTCTTTCCCAAGAGATAAATCGCACATCGATATGAACTAATTTTCAGAGACAAAATGTAAAACCTACCATTAAATTACTTCAGCTCTTTTAGAACTCAGACTCCAATTGTGGCAACCTATGTTGTTTGAATGCTCCAAAAATGTTGATGCACCCTGTGTCGTATCCTCCAAATGTACTACTTTTGGAGGATCCGACATACACTCGTCGGCATTTTTGAAGAGCCAGAGCAACATAAGTGGCAACACTAGCACAGTACAATATATGGGTGTCACTCATCTATTTAACTAGCACATACACTTAAGGGGTATAATATCAAATTAAAGAAGAACTTGTATCAAGAGACATGTCTTGAAGGTTGACAAATAATGCAAAATATTATGTCAAGGCAAAAGACATCACCCTAGGATGTCCAAACAGAGTTGTGTTACTGTCCTGATACAAAAGTCTTTTTAACACAATGCCACCCTGTTATCAGCTCTAAATAAATAATTTAGAATGTGATACAATCGGACTAGTACAGTAATTCAACCAATTTGAGGCTATTACCAGAAAATCTAAAGTTGAAGAAATTTACGTTTGGATAGTGAATCAACTTACTTGGAGATTCTGAAGCCGTATAGAAAGGTTCAGGAGAACAGGTTCAACCGCTCCCTGGATGAGGACTCGAGAACCTACATAGTAGGATGTCAGCAGAAAACATTCACGTGAAGGTAGAATATAAGATACTAACAAAGACCGAGCAAGCTTTACCATCAGCAACCATGATACTGCAGTTAACTGACCGACTCATCTGAGTCATCGATCAAAGCTAATATCACCCCTAGGATTTAGTAGTATACTGGAGAACATGGATAGATGGCATCTGCAAGACCAGCAGGCAGAATGAACCTCAACCCAAGAGAAGTGAAAATATACGGTACTTGAGCAATGACTATGGCGGCGTTCAAAACTTTACTAATTTCTCATTCTTTCAGAGTAGAAATTATATGCACCTAGCCACAAAGGAAGGAATTTTTTTATAACTAAAGCAGTAATTACGAAATGAAGCCATGATATATTTGACCGAGGAAATCAAACTGAACCAGAGGGACTCCTAATGATGAAATCAGGAAAAAAAAACTAGAAAATTCCTCGCGTAAACATTCCTCCTCCTTAGAAGAAAAGAAAAAGAAAAAAGAATACTCTATGACCAAGAATACCTGGACAAACCCTCTAGACAGAGGCGCCTAACAGTAGGAGAATCATCCGATACATGCCGACAAAGTGCTTGCACCATCTGTTCTAATAGGGGACCAAAGCCATCACT